TGGGTATGACCCCGTTCGCTTCGTGGAAACTGAAACAACTGTGCATGGCACCATTCGTTGTCTTTTTCAGCGATTTTAAGATACAGGGTCTAGGGCTTTGAGTGCGCAAGGGTTGTGTATGACCCCGTTCGTTTTCTTCTGCATGCCCCTTGGAAACTGAAACAACTGTGTATGACACCGTTCGTTGTCTTTTTCAGCGATTTTAAGATACCGGGTCGGGGGCTTTGAGTGCGCAAGGGCTGTGTATGACCCCGTTCGTTTTCTTCTGTATGCTCCTTGGAAACTGAAACAACTGAGTATGACACCATTCGTTGTCTTTTTCAGCGATTTTAAAATACAGGGTCTAGGGCTTTGAGTGCGCAAGGGTTGTGTATGACCCCGTTCGTTTTCTTCTGCATGCTCCTTGGAAACTGAAACAACTGTATATGACACCATCTGTTGGTTTTTTTCAGCGTTTTTAAGATACAGGGTCTAGGGCTTTGAGTGCGCAAGGGTTGCGTATGACCCCGTTCGTTTTCTTCTGTATGCTCCTTGGAAACTGAAACAACTGTATATGACACCATTCGTTGTCTTTTTCAGCGATTTTAAGATACAGGGTCTAGGGCTTTGAGTGCGCAAGGGTTGTGTATGACCCCGTTCGTTTTCTTCTGCATGCTCCTTGGAAACTGAAACAACTGTATATGACACCATCTGTTGGTTTTTTTCAGCGTTTTTAAGATACAGGGTCTAGGGCTTTGAGTGCGCAAGGGTTGCGTATGACCCCGTTCGTTTTCTTCTGTATGCTCCTTGGAAACTGAAACAACTGTATATGACACCATTCGTTGTCTTTTTCAGCGACTTTAAGATACAGGGTCTAGGGCTTTGAGTGCGCAAGGGTTGTGTATGACCCCGTTCGTTTTCTTCTGTATGCTCATTGGAGATTGAAACAACTGTGCATGACCCCATTCGTTTCCATTCTCAATAGTTTTAGGGTGTAGGGTCTAGGGCTTTGGGTGCACACGGGTTGTGTATGACCCCGTTCGTTGTCTTCTGTATGCTCCTTGGAGACAGTGAAACAACTGTGTATGACCCCATTCGTTTTTTTTTTCGACGGTTTTAGGGTGTAGGGTCTAGGGCTTTGGGTGCACAAGTAAGTATGGTGTATAAACCCCGTTCGTTTTCTTCTGTATGTTCCCTGGAGACTTTTTCAACGGGTCTAGGGCTTTGTGTGCACAAGGGTTGTGTATGACCCCGTTCGTTTTCTTCTGTATGCTCCTTAGAAATTGAAATAACTGTGTATTCCTCAACTCCCAAACTTTACTCCCAGTGATGCTCATGATGCGCTTAGCTTTTCTGTGTACGGTCTTCACTCATGCTCACTAAGCCCATGAAGCAAGAGCTTTCGTCACCCCTCTCCGGGTCTCAAGTAATGAGAAACAGTCCAAGCTGGTTTGGCCTTGGCTGGGGGCATGAAAGCTCGTCCCTGATCTGCCTCCAAAACCTTTCCCCCTGCACTCGGAAAAGAGCTGAGGCCTCAAGACATGAAGTAGTTCGTCAATTTTAAGGGCTCTGTGAGATTTCTTATGGCAAGCCAAATCTGGTGTGCCAAAACCAAGCCCGCAAATCCTAAGCTCAGCCGTGAAGCCAGGCAGCCACAACCCTGATCTTTTCTTAAATCTTTACAACCCTTCTGAAACCACAAGCATCGTCAGGAGCAAGACAAGCTCCTGGCAGTGGAGGGGAAGGCCATTCCCAACTTGAGGGCCAGAATATGTAGTGTTGGTAGTACGTAAATATTTCTGAAAATTCATTAGAACCTGCAGAACCTTGCACTTAGACCTCATGCCCTAAGTCCCTCAGCCCCCGAAGCTTCATCCATGTCCCAGCACTTGCACCGGACGGGAGTCTCAATCAGGGCTCTGTTGGACTCTTGGGCCCCGTGTCGGGGCCTGGTTTTGTCGAGCTATCGGGATATGGGGAGTTTTATGACTCACGGCTTCTGCAGGGTAGGGATGAGCGCAACAGCGCTACAATTCAATGATCTACTACAATGATCTACCGACATCTAGCAGCTAATAATTAAAGAAAGATCTGTCTCCGGCGGAGGCAATCAAAGTTGCACGTAACCTCCAGCATGCAATGTGGCTCCAAGATATGAAGACGACCGCTCCAGCTGTGGAAGGCGGAATAAGCTTGAGGCATTGGTCAAAATTGCCGGGTTAGTAGCGTTTCTGGCGATGCTTCAGATACGAACTTCGCAGCAACTCCGACCCTTCGGACATGACAAGCATGAACCGGCAGGATGCTGTTAGGTACTCTAGGGGAAACTAAAGGGGATTGTTACGTATTCTCCGGGTCGATCTCAGATTTAGTCTTCCACCAGTTCTTTTCGCTTAGGTATGCCGGGTTCCCAAGACCAAAGCCCGAATTCAGACTAACGTGTGTTTGGGCTTAGGGCCTCCTCTACTAAGGGTTTCAGTAGAGTGTGAAGTTTACATCCACAGCCCGTGAACTAAAGGTACAACATGCTAAGCTGGTCCTGAAAGGTTGAAAGTTTCAACCTGTATGTCTACCGTAGACCTCCACTGCAACATCGAAATCTTCAAGTCGTCGGAGCTAGGGCTAGGGCCCTTAACCGAAATCGCACAGGCGGAGCTTGCGAAACCCAAGGGCTGGATCAACGTCCCAGTCACTTGACTCATTATCCATGAGGCCTTCAGCATATGTCAGATGCAGAGCTCAGAGGGCTTTCGGTGGAGCTGAAGGGCCTCGAAGGGAGATATGCGAGCTTGCACCCGAAAGTCTCAAACTCGGCTTAGGCGAAGGCCAGCCGGCGAGCCCCGAGCACCGTGCGATGGCTGGAAGAGGTGCCACCCACGGTGGGGAGGGAGATTCTTGGGCCTGCGCCCTAAACCCTAGCTCCGAGTGCATGGGGACGTAGCATCTGGAGTGTGAGCTAGGGGCCTACGCGGATCTACGGGTTCCAATTCTCGGGATTCGGGTTGGGGGGTTTGGGATATCCAGGCTTTTCCATCAGGGTCCAAGGGCCTGTCTTGTACGATTGTGTTAGTGCGACGGTATGTACTAATGACGACATATAGACAGACACACGGAAAGAAATATGGCTGATAGACAGTGATGAAAAAGTTAGATAAGATTCGAAGATAGTTAGGTACAGATAGAAAACAGATAGACATACAGATAGACGGATACAGTCAAGACAGTTAGAGAGATAGAGATCTAGACAAATAGGGATAGATGCACATACACATTCATGTACATATATATATATATATATGTATGTATGTATGTTTATCTATGTATGCATATCTATTCATGTATATATATATATATGTATATATATATATATATACATATGCGTTTATATCTATGTATAGAAACATGTAGACATAGATAGATAGATAGCTAGATAGATAGATCGACAGGTAGATGGAGAGAGAGAGAGAGAGACAGAGAGAGAGCGGGATTTAAATATTGATAGACTGATGGGTGGGTACAGAGTTAGATAGACGGAAAACTTAGACAGATGCATAGGTAGAATCAGATGAACTACAGATAGGTAGAAATTTGGGTAGATAGGCAGACAGAGTGATACGCAGATGGATAGGTAGATGTGAAGGTTCAGAGATAGGCATAGGTATGTATTTAGGTAGGTAGGTAGGTTGCTGCGTAGAAAAATAGATGGAGAGATAGATCGGTAGACAGATAATTAGATCAGTAGATAGTTATATAGGTAGATAGATAGATAAATAGAGAATCAGATTCTTCGTTACGTCGATACATAGCTTACAGGATATAGTGTGTAACATACACACAATTCGTTTATGCATGTATATGTATGTGTGCATGTATGTATGTGTATAATTATGTAGCATACATACATGCATACATACATACACACACATATATGCATGCGTATTGGTATGTATATAGGCATGTATGTCTGTATGTAAGTACGCATGTATGTATGAGTGCAGGTGCGTATGCATGCACGGATGTATGTACGTATGTATGTAGATATACTTGTACAGAGATGATAAAATTATGCGTGCGTCAAACACTTGAATCCTTACATGCTGCTGCGCAGGATGAACTGGGCCGTGACAGCATGGACGAGAAGGACATGTCACCCGCCACGAGGCAGGAGTGTCGCTTTTCAACCTGAAAGGTGGAGGATTGGGTTTCGCTGTCGTGTTTTGTAAGGGGGTTCAAAGCTTACAGTGTGACTGCAGGGCCGGGTTTTGGAGACGTAAGAAGATGAGAGCCGGACATTTGCAGTACTTGTCCCCTGCACATCCTTTGGCAAACTTCGACCGCGAATCTTCAACGTCATGGAATGTCATGGAGTGTACTGGGGCCTGTCTAAATTTCGGGTTTGTGATATGCAGCTAGTGATGTACCTCTGAGGGTTGCCTATTTATGCTTACTTAAACTGCTGTCTCCGCAGCGAGAAAAGTCCTGGTCATGTTGGTTGGGCCAGGGGAGTCTGAGCACCGGCAGCCTGTGCGGCTCGAGCCACGCGTGTGAGGGCGTAGCATACATGGCCCTACTCAAGGAAGGATGAGCCGTGTCGCGTGTTGTTGGTCTTTGGTACAGGGCCGCTGACCGGCTTAAGATTTTTTTGTGTCAGGATTAAGGGTTCAGGCCGCATTGCGCATGCAGTCATACGGTGCGGCGACGCACGGAGTTTCGATCTTCAAGCCTTGAACCTGATAAGCCCTTTTTAACCCTTGGAGCCTTGGAGTTTTGAAGCAGCAAATAGGGGTTTGTTATGCCTTTACGGTCTCTTGTATGGCTATACTGAGGGTTGACTATAACATTCCCTCAGAGCAACCCCCTTGATGTTTGCTACATGGAACCCCCAAGACAGAGTCTTGACACCAAAAAGGCCGGACGCCAAACTCCCTGTTCTCCGAGCCCAACCCAAGCTATTGCCAAACCGAACATCCGAAACTCTCAGCCGCAAGCAGTCGAAAGCAGCAAGAGCACCCAGAGCAAACATGGGCTCCAGCGATGGCGAATCGCTTGCAGCTGCTACATACAGCATCTATTTGGTCGTGCGCTGAGTCGACATGTTTATGTGCATCGGATGCAGGGCTAGTACATGCATCTGTCTCTCTCTCTCTCTCTCTCTCTCTCTCTCTCTCTCTCTCTCTCTCTCTCTCTCTCTCTCTCTCTCTCTCTATATATATATGTATATATACATACATACATAGTTTATGCAGGTGCATGTAGAAACACACATACTTGCGTACCAACACATAGATCATATACACACGTATACAGGTTCATAAAAAGACATGTCTATATATATATATATATGTATATGTACATGCACATATATGTATACATGTGTACACCTATACGATTGTGTTTCAATCTGCATGTGTGTATATGTAGTTACATGTGCAGATATGCGTATGCATATGCCATTTTGTACGTGTGCACAGGCATGGATGGATGGATGGATGGATGGATGGATGGATGGATGGATGGATGGATGTACGTGTGTATGTATGTGTGTATATATATATGTTTACATATATTCTAGTAGTTATGTGTGTGTGTTTACAAACATACACATGCAAACAGACATGTTTCGACGAGCAAACGACCTGACAAGCGGGTTTATCGAGCTGTATTTTTGGATAGGTGGTGCAGCCGGGAAGTCGGTCGGTGGTGCCCGAGAGAAGTGGCGGGTGAGACAGGGGAGAAAGCGATGCTAGAATCGCTTAAAGCGAAGTGGCATGACCTGAGTCTGCAATGTTCCAGGTCACACGAGTTTTGTGGAGATTTATGTTCCTGATTCTTCCTGAGGAGGATGGATGAGAGGCTTCCAACCATAAAGAGAATACAGACTGACTGCCACAGTTAATTAGGGCCTCAGCTATGAGGGAGAACGAACATGATGGGCCAACGTTCTCAATCGTGTGGCCCGATGGTGTACCAGTGGTGTACCAGTTGCTCGGGTTGAGTTTGCTGAAGGGTTCTTTGGCTTCTGCAGTTCGGCCTTGTTCGACCTTGAACCGATGTGTGATGAGAACCATGCTTCCGGCAGCCAGAACCCATAATGCCAACGTCGAAATCCACCAGGGCAGAAATCTGGCTTGGCTCTTCCAAACTGTGCTGAAACTGTGCTTCTTTCCCCAACAGGGTGGTGCACTCAATATGCATACGCATATAGAGTTACATAGTGTTGCTACGAAGCAGTAGTGTTTGCCATGTTCATTGAGACATCGTCTCTTGCAGCTGCCTTCTCGCTTCTCGATGTGTATCTACGTGGACCCATGTGTGTGTGTACCCAGCTAGATACCCGTATGTTTCTAGACCTACGCCTGCACATGCATGCAACAGAAGACTATTCTCGGACCAGGTCATGCTTCTCGTGTCCTTTTTCTTCGCGTACTGCCTCTCCAATCGCTGCAGCTCCTGCGTCTACCTTTCCGAAGCAGGAGACCTTGTCTGGAAGCTAATAGTCCCGGGGTTCAGACGGTCTCAACAATTGTCCCAGCCCGAAGCATTGGAGTGCATGTTGTAAAGATGCACAGGGAAGTGCTCGAGGTACCTACATGCTCTGCACATGGGTTCCTGCACATGCCTTGGCCAGAGGCCCATACCTGACTTAAACTCACTGACCGAGATCGGAGCTCTTAGAAAACCTAGGGAGGTCCTGGGCCGGGTTGCATTTGACAGGAATGTCCCTCCTGGTCGGATTTATCGGCGGAGGCTGGCGCAGTGGATGGCGTGGCGTGAGCTTTGGAGATTTCAGATTTTCGTGGCGCATGGCTTCCGGGCATGAGGGTCAGCGCCTAAGGGCTTAGGTCGTTGAGGGATTCCACAAGCAAAGGTCCAAGGTGTGCGAGCTTAAGGTTTCGACAGCGCGATGCTTTTGTCGCTCGCTTGTTCTCAAGTTACTGCAGTGTGACACCTCAAACGAGCCAGCCCCGAATCGTCAACCCGAAAACCCCAACTCGGAAACTCAACCTAAGTAGGACATCTCTTGTCATCGTCACACGGATCATGCTCGTTCGCGTGTGCATCTCTTTCATTTACTGAATGCTTAGCTTCGGCGTCGTCATCGGCAGTATCGTTCACATCGCTAAGAAGGCTTGCATACCACAGCCGGGGAAGTTGCTTGGAGTTACTTCCCTGTGCAAGTAAGCCTTGCGTTGGCAATGCAAAATATTGCAAAATCACCAGGCATGCGTCAACCCTTTCAGTCGTGCTCTTGTGAGATTCGGGTGTCAGGAATTCTCGAACTCCTGGTCCACGAAGATCAGAGTGCCTGGCCTGTTCCTGCCCTGGGTCTGGAGTTGGGGGGGGGGGGGGGGGGGGCCGACGGAATGATCGAATCCGTATACAGGTCGGAAACGACCTCAAGACTCAAGACTACCCCTGAAAGCATGAAGCTGCACCATCCAGCAATTGCAGCCCCTAATCTTTGGCCGTCAATCCGAGCCCTAACCACCTGTAGAAACCCAAACCCATCCCGAAGCCCTAAGTAAACTCCTGAAGCCGAAGAGTCCGGAAAGGTGCGCAGCTCGATACCTGATCTCCAACCTTCGAAAGCAGAGACTCAAACAGTCAAGCTGTACATCTGTACATATTCATGCAGGCTTACGGCGAAGGTGCGGTTGGCGGTTGTAAGATCTCATGCATCAAAGTAGATTGGCCGGGAAAGCCGTCATTCCCTTTTTTCCCTTTGTTCATTTATGTACTCTGGTCTCGAAACCCCACAAGGTGATCGATTTGCGGAGAAGGAGGTTAGGCAGACAGTCGTCGGCTTTTCATCTACTGTGTCCCAGTTGCATGTCATTTTCGGAATATGGTTCGCCACGCAGAATTAGATTTCAGCAGAATTTGTGGGTCGAGCCGCGCAAGTTTGGGCCGCTGCGTGTAGAGATTCGACAAGAGTTGATACTGCGGCCAATTCGAGTCGGTTTTGGGCTGCATGCTGCGTGGAGATTAGGTTGAACTTACGCCTGGGTCTGTAGTTTCGATCCTAAGAGCTGATGCTCGGAAATATGTTGGGTTGGTTTAGGGAGGGGGTGAACATAGTTCCTGTGCTGTAGCGCTTGTAGGCAGTTATGCATGGGGCAGCCAAGGCATTCACCCAAACAAACCTCGAGTTCTCCAGTCTCAAAGCTCCAATCGCCCCTCAATCCTATATAATATTCCCGCCCATGATGGCTCCCTACATGTAGTTCCCTTTCGCGGGCCATTGCTACCAAACGATCGGATGTGCTCTTTCAGGATCACTCTCCAATACTGTTGCAGACTCTCCGCACAACTGTTGAATCTTGCACCACTCTATTTCGGCTTGAAGTTTTGTTTAGGGCTGAAAAGTTTCCAGGTCCACGAGAATGAGAAATCCGCTGCCCATCAGCCCGATATCCCGAACAACCCGAACACAAGAAAACCGGCAGCTTAAACGCAGGGACGGAGTCTGCAGAATGCAAGCTCGCATGTTCCCTTTCAATAGTACCCCGAACCCTTCAATCCGGCAGTCAATATCTGGGTCCGGACCCTGTGCCATTGAGGTACTCTTTTGCGTGCTTCTGCCGCCGATCATTTTCGATTCTGGCTTTCGCATGCGTGGCGCCTTCTTCTGGGCCCGGGAGCCCTGTACAAGTCAAAGAGCTTTAAGCCTATGAAGTGTCGGAGTGAAGGGCATGGGTTGGGATTTGGGTAAATCTGGCGTCATTTCTTGACATCAGAGGAACCTTCTCAGAGCACAGCCTCCTGTATGCCTGGAACGCCTGGAGTTTAAAAAGAGAAGCTCAACATAAAGATCCTTTTGCTAGGTCTTCAAGACCCTTTTCAAGTGTTAGAGTTTGGGGCTTCAAGCTTCGAGGTTCCTCTCGACATCATTGAGGGAGCATTTGATCTAGCTGCTATCTTCTTTTTGCGATGGGGTCCTTTAGGACGCTAGCTTGTTAGATGGCCCGTCGATCTGCCTCACGGACCCATCTGCTGCTCAGGGTTTAGGCTTCTTGTGTGTGTGTGTGTCGGATTTTAATAGTCCTAGCCAAGTGCAAGCACTAGGTCACTAGGTGTGCCTTGAGATTTGCCTAGGTTTCTTCAGCAACATACTTATCCGTGAAGCGTAGCTTCGGTGCTGAGAGTATAAACAAGTCTATAAGCCTAAGCTCTGGCAGCTCTAAGCCCCGGAAGATGAGAAACAATGGGCGTGCAAGAAGGTGCCGATCTTGCTTTCAGAGCGCATTCGGGAGGTCTTTTGTCCTCTTGCACTTGGGACACGATTGAGAGTTGAGAACCTGCTTCATTGAATTTCATGTTGATGCCATTTGCAGAATCTGAAGAGTTCTGCACACCGTACACCTGGAACACTATACTTGTTGGATTCAACTACCTCCCGCAGTTCCGGAAGCATCCTTAGCCGTCGCTTGATTGAAGATGCGGGCAGGCGAACATCGACAAGATCATGGTCCTGGCTTTCTTCGGGACCCTGGTGTCCTCCCTGGTGGTGGGAGCCATGCTGGCTGCTTGGCTTCGATTCTGGACACCTTAAACCTCAACCCCTCGATTCCGATTTTCCCGGAAGTTATCTAGGAGGATTTGTTTGAGGGCTTGCACAGCTTGTGGGACGCACGTTTCGAGAAGCAGCTGGTAAGTTTGGTTTCTTCCGACAGGTGTATGTACACTATCAGTATCACGCAAAATCGGCAGTCGAATCGTACAATTTCGGGGACACCCCTTGCGTGGGCGTGGCAGGGTTTAAGCTCCGCGGTTACAGGGCATGTAGGTAGCGAGCATGTCTGTCGACTCCCACAATCGCAGAAAGCTCCACCGTGGAAGCGCATGGTTTCAGCACCACATGGTTCCGTGCAGCATTTCATTGTGATTCTGAAGAATGGCTGATATGCCCTGCAAGCTGTTTGCCCTTTCTGCCGTTCAAAAAGACAAAAGTTGAAACTGTTTGTTAAGAAGTGTGCAACACTGGCACAGCCCTTTTTACTTCTTACCAGGGTGACCGTGAAACTACCGCACATGTTATTTCAGGCGGCTTTAGTACACACCTCAACATCTATAGCTGCAGGTGTTCGTTAGTATCACTGCCTGCACTGCACCTTGAACCAACGAGGCAGTGAGATGGGGTTGGAAGCCAGCGCGTTGCCGAACCTATGACACACCCTTTTCGTGTCTGTTACCCCACAGCGGTACCCCACACACCATGAGTTGGTATAACCATTGTTTCATAGCAGCACATCGGATGTCGTTGTGCACGATGACGTCCATTTCCGAAAGTCCCAGCACATGCAGCGAGTCTCAAGAAGTTGGTATCTTTAGACTGTACAGCATGACATTTGCAAGATCCCGCTCTGTAAGGTTTGGTTTCGGCCTTCGGGCTCCGGGCCCAGCCGTTTAGGAGCAATGCATGTCGGGTCCCACAGCTGACTTGTGGTCTTGCCCACTGTACTTCCTGTTTCGCCCCGAGGCAGCATGACAACAGATACTTGCTGTAGCTAGACGAGCACCCTTCCTGTTCTGAGGCTTGCGGCTTTGCCCTCTGCAAGCAGTATATTTCAGATTGCGTAGTAAGACTCGATGAAGCGAATCGATTTTTTGATTGGGATACAGGCTTCGAGTTGAAAGTGCTGAGTGCCCACGGAAGCTACTCTGACTGTTCTAGGAATAGCTGGAAGAGAAGGTATGCCAGTCCTCATGAAGTGCTTCTACACACCCGCAGTCGGATAAGGAAAGAGTCTGAGTTAGTTTTTTGGGGGCCCCAGTTATACCGTTTATAATTATGCACTGCCACACATAGAGCCATCTGCGGAACAATGAATCCAATCCTGGCAGAAAGCCTCTTATGCATGTTGTTCTTTCTTTGTCCTCCAATTCAATATCCCGAAAACGGAACCATACGCCAGAGCCACACCTATCTCTCCAAAGCATGGCTATTCAGAACATCCTTGCCATCAAATCTGTTAAACTCCTCCAAACCTCCAGAAAGCTGGGCACAGCTTTGTTGTGCTGCTGTTTGGTTTACCCTGGATCCCAAAGGCTTCGGGTATTCAAGGTTTCGGTCTCATCGGCAGGTGTACACAACCAGAAGTCTGAGTGTTCAGGGCTCTGAGCTACCGATATAACATCAAAAAAATTCTCCCCATACAGCATTCAAACTGCCCCGTCAAATCAGCCTGGGGCAGATCCCAGGCTTCAGCATCCGGTGTGCTTCCTTTCTATCCAGATGTGCCCCGGGCCTGTGAGGTTTAGGGTTTGTAGGTTTTAGAGTGTCAGGCTTTCTGGGTTACAGTGCGCAGTTACAGTTTGCAAGTTGTTTTCACGTCAAATCAAAGCCCCGGCTGCGGGTCCTTGAGTGAGTGGTAAAACGGACTGTGTTTCGGGTTTGAAAACTGTGTGTGTTCTGGTTTCGGGCGCAGGGTTTGATTTGGGGCTAAAAGGGGTTCAGGGTTGCGTTAAGCCTCACCGAATTGACAGGATTTACAGGTTCGGCAGGCCCTCTTTGACGAGGTGCTCTGCGGAAAGGCCGCTTACACGACTCTTATCTTGCCGTCCCATCCGCCAAAGCGTACAGTCTGAAGCCCATTAAATCCCCGATCCATAGATCCATGACCGAAGTTCCCCAAAACGGTAAACTCCAAATTCATGTCACACAAGAAAACTCGAGAGCTCGTCTTTCGAACCTAGATCCTGGTAAAGGGGGTCGGAATGCGCAATAGTATCACCTTACCGGCCCCGCTACCACCATTTGCTAGCATACCCCAAACCCCTACACTAACTACTGAGATCTCTTTATCAAAATCTCCCTTTGAAACTTCTTTGTTGTGGAGCTTTTAAGCTCTGGACCGTCCTTCAGGTCGCTGGCAACTCCTCGAAGATATCACTCCCCGAGGCTTCCCCGTAGCGGCGTGCGGCTCCGGGAGGGTTTTATCGGTTGCAGGGCTTCAATGCAGGGATCGAAATAAAGAGTAACACCATGCTTGCGTCCATATATAAATACAGTTTCATGTACCCCGTAAACCCAGTTCAACTTACTACAGCTCGCAATGAGGGGGGCATTAAGGCATGGGGAGTAGAGTGTAGGGTTGAGAGTTCCCAGTTTAAGCCTTAGTGTTGAGGGTTGAGGGTGTTGTGCGCTTGGGCCGAGGTTTTCAGGCGTAGTAGTTGGATTTCGGGCTTACGGCTTCTTGGATCAGAAGTCAGGATTCAGCTTTTCAGGTCTTGGTTTTAGAGTTCCGGGGATTTGCCTTAGCCAGAAGCTAAAACCATGTTATACACCCTTGTGAAACGCTGTCAGAACCCATTCTAATCATTATTAACCTCTTTATGTAAACCTGTGAACCTCAAACCTAACGCCCTGCAGAGGCCTTGACTTTCGGTGCTCTGATTTCTGCGACGGACCCCGTCACGACCCTGGCGATTTTCGAGCAACTGCATGCCACTTGGCCTGAGTGAAGATGCTTGCGGTGTAAGTTGAGGTTTTCGGCTTGAGGAACTCAGCATGCTTGAAATATCGGCTATGACGTACAAGCCCCAAGCTAAACCCCAATTGATTTCAATCCCTGCAGAAAATCAGTGACTAACAGTTTGTGTTTACCGCACTCAGGCTGTGTGTTCAGGGTTCAGGGGTGCACGTTACATGTGTTCGATTGTCCTGCAAGTTTAATTGCGATTTCGGCATCTCAAGTTTCAGAGAGTGACGGCAATGCCTGTAAATGCCCTTCCTATGCACTTGGCAATGTCAACCTTCCCACAATACCAACAGAAGACCTCCGGATAGATGCTACTGCCACACTGCCCTCAGCATGTGAGGTGGACCCTCATCTCTTCAATGTGATCTTTGGCGACTTTGCTGGAGAACTTTCTAGCCCCAAGGGCTAAAGCTGCAAACCCCAAACCCTACACCCTAAACTTCTGTGACGGCTGTCACATAATTGATTGCCTTGACCTTGCTGATGGAATGTTCGTATGGATGCGACTTGATGCGACAGACCCTGCTTCAGGAGAGAGTGTGCTGAACGATGCCGTTTCCATTGTGCTCTTCCACTCGCCCCTTCTGCTGGCATTTCAGAGGATGTAGGCCGTAGACTACACCAAGTGGGTATGCTCAAACATTCAGGGCCCCTGCGAAGATGGTGCTACAGTTCTGTCTCAGAGTGAAGACCCCTTGTCACACATTTACGATTTGTGTATTGCTTGTGGCCAGTGCCGCTGCAACATGTGATTTTGCGACTGGACGGAACGTTGTAGGAGTTCAGGCCTGGTGGTTTCATGTTCAGCAGGTGCAGTTGAGGGTTTCGTTCAGGGCTTCGTGTTCGGGACGTAGGATTCCAGGCGCAGGATTTGGGGGTAGGTATGCGGTCAGGGTTCAACATGGTAGCACTGCAGCATGACATCATCTCTTGCGGCCTGGACGCTGTTCGAGCCGACGGGGTATCCTGTAACCCTCAGCCCGCACAGAACCCGCCAGACCCTTAAGCCTCAAATGCCAATGTGCAACCCCTCAAACCCTGTTATAGCAGAATCTACATGTTAACATCCTCCCGACTCACTCTGGATCTGCTTCTCCACTAGAGGGCAGGAAGCCTGGGGCCCTTATTCCAAGAATAACCTTTGCAGAAACGATATGAAGTTGTTGAAAACCTCGAATAACGGGGACTTTTAAGCCCGTTGCAGCCAAACAAACCATTACCCAAAGTTTACCTGACGAGGTTTTCCAAAGCGATCGGGCAGGAGGAGAAGAATGTCGCAGCGAGCGTCCTTAGCCGTCCGGCCACCATTGGTAGCTTAAAGGGAGTGTTCTGGGGCTTTGGGCGCCTAGGGGCCGCGTTCCAAGGTTATGGGAGCTTTCTGACTAGGCCGGTTTTTAGGGCCTTGCGAGGAGAGGCACCCTGGCTCATAAACCCGAGTCCTCCGGGTCTTAATTTCCCTACGAGGCAGGCTGCTGGCCTTTGAGCTTTAGAGCTTAAGCTTGCGCTGCAGGGTTTTGCTGTCGGCTCAGGGCTTGATGAAGGGGTAGGGTGGCTAGGAAGCTCATGTTGTTGGGGGTTTTGCTGCTGAGACTTGGGAAGTCTTTCTTTGGAGTTCGGGAGATGCCTCAAAGCAGTGTCGGTATGAGAAGAACACTTTCTTCTCTTGTCTCTCAGAGCCCAAGCTCGCAATGCCAAAAGTACTACTGTTAGTACTTGTAATGGTAGCACTACAGTGCCAGTGATAACAAACTTCCCTATATCAGTAATAATGGTTGTAAGTGTAACAACAGTCAAAGTCTCGAGCCCTTCGTTTTAGCTTTTGCTTCTGTTAAGGATAGGGGCTTAGAATTTGAGGGTTTAGTGGTAGTGGCCTAAGCTGTGCCTCAGAATTGTCGGGTCCTTCGGCTGACGGCGAAGCTGTAGAAATTGATTTTGGAACCTTTCCACCTGAGACTGCAAACGAAACGAAGCCGGTATGTGTCTGGTGGGTGTAGGGTGGCCTACTAGCTTCTTGTGTCAAGGAGCCTGGAAGATCCTTCCCTCCAAGACTTCTGTTTATTGTCCAGGGATGTTTGGCCAGCATCAAGCTCTATTCATGGCAACTTTTTGGCTAGGCCCTCGACCTGCGGAACCCAAGCCGAAGCAGGAATGGTTTGGGATTTCATCGTCATCTTCGTCGGCTCTGCGGCGTTTTGTCTTAAAGACGATGGACCTGATCATTCTTGGGCGGGGGGGGGGGGGGGTCCGTGACAGAGTGATCCCCAAGGTTGTTGCATACTTGTTATATGGGCAATGCCGGCCCATTTCATCGAATGGTATGTTGGAGTGGCAAGTGGCTTTAGGCTTTAGGGCATAGTAGCGGTGTTCGGGCAATCTCGCTAAAAGGCAATCTAATGGCTTTCAGACGAATCGGAGGCTGCTGCCTGTGACTCGTGACGAGTTTAGCACGTGGGTGTCAGGGCTTGCAATCAATTCGGAATGAAGCGATCGCTGCCCCAGAGGTCATCGGTGCTGGGTTGGGCTGCTTTTCCGCGCTGCTTTTTAAGCCTGGCGCCCAGGTTCTCAGATAGATTGGCTTGGTGTCTTAGTGGCTCTAAAGGTTGCTTTCAGCAGTTTCGCTTGCAAACTTTCGCTACCAGTGGCAGCATGCAGGGTGAGTAGTTTACGAATTGCCGTTTTCAGTTGCCGGGATTATGGTGCTGCGGGTGTAGACTCTAATGAAACTACAGGTGTAGGGATATACGTAGGAACGTATGACGACAATTAGGGATAGAGACAACAATGTCTCTCTCGACGTGTGAATGTGTGTGTGTGTGTGTTTGCAGAATATGGGGCGTTGGTGCATTATGTATATGTATATACATAGATAGTTCTATGGGTTGTCTCTCTCTCTCTCTCTCTCTCGCTCTCGCTCTCGCTCTCCCTATATATATATATATATATATACATACATACATACATACACATTCATTTATCATGTGTGTGTACGGATGCATACATATACATACATATACATATACATATGCATATGCATATACATAGACATAGACCTAGACCTAGACCTAGACCTAGACCTATACGTATACGTATACGTATACGTATACGTATACATACACAGATGCATATTGATATGCACACAAATGATATGTTTGTGCACATACTTATTATATATACAGAAAGCGTCACACTGAAAGCTATATATATATATATGTACATATATGTGTGTGTGAGAGTGTCTGTAAGCACAGCACCACAGTCTTCTCAAATGCCGGTGCCGGGTACCGGGTGCCGCAAAGTGGCTGACACGCTTCGATTTGTTGCTGAGCCCGTGTTAAATTTTATAGCGAAGAGGGCCTAAGCGATATACAACATACAACGGGGGTATCCCCAACAGCTACATCGACTTAGTGGAGCTGCGGCCCAGAGCAAATCCTTAGACCAGCTTCATGACACAAAATCTTGCACCTCAGGGTCACCTGGTGCCCTAAACCTCAACAGAAACATGCCGCAATGCTGTAGCTTTGGATTCCAAGGCCACAAATCCTTTGAAAACCCCAAGGTTACAATCCAAGAAACACGGTAACTTGGAGGGTCGAGTCGAACCCGCGGCACTCTTGATTTAAAGCCTGAATTCGTTCTTTTGCATGGTGCCTTAGCCCAGGCATGCGGCCTTATCCAGCCACACTGACCTCCATGGCCCAAAGCTGGAGCTGTCGATTTTTCTCGCGAGCCGACTGCAAGGAAGGGGTCGACTGACTTATCCAGGGGGTCTTACATGTAGTTCGATTTAGGTTACTGGCTTTGGTTAACCTTACTTCCAGACAGGTTGTTGGATGTATGTAGTTGGAGGGTTAGCTGCTCAGGATGTAGAGCCGCTGTCTTCGGGTTTGGGGCTGGGGTTGGGGTGTCATGACGAAATATGCCTCGGGAGTTTGGGTACAGGAGATCGCAATTCACTCAGGAATCCGAATTATCTGAGGAATTTATTGTGTTTTTCGTGGGAATGTGTTTTGTGTTCGTGTTTTTTTCTTCCTCTGCTTTTCTGCTTTCCTCCGCTGTTGTGATTTTCCGCTTCTCAGCTTTTCCGCTTCTCTTGCTTCTCCTCTGCTCTGCTTTCCTGCTTCTCTGCTGCTGCTTCTCTGATTGTCTGCTTCGCTTTTCTCGTTTTTCAAGTTGTTGCTTGCAGATCTTCCCTGCTTTAATATTGCCTTGTTCGTGTTGTTTTTTGTGTGTGTTTGCTTCCCTCTTCTTTTTTGCTTCTCTGTTGTTCGCTTCTCTTGCTTCTCTGCTTTTCTGCTTCTCTGATCGTCTGCTTCGCTTTTCTCGTTTTTAAGTTTTTGCTTGCAGCTCTTCCCTGCCTTGGTGTTTGTTTTGTTTTTTGTGCTGTTGCTTTCCTCTGCTTTTCTGCTTCTCTGCTTTTTCGCGTCTCTTGCTTCGCTGCTTTTCTGCTTCTCTGATTGTCTGCTTCGCTTTTGTGCACCCCAACCCCCCCGCTCTCTTAAGCCGTGAAGAAATGAATAAACACGTCTTCTCCAACATACAAGATGGAGAAGCCACACGAAATCGCTTCAGGAGATCAAAGCGAAGGAAACCAACTCAATTTTGGAAGGTTTGCAAGTGGAGGGGGGGGCTGCACCCCGCCCCCCAATCCCCCCGCTCCCCCCTCCGCTTTTTTCTAAACCGCAAACTTTGCTGCTTTCTCCCTCTCCCTTACCCCCCTGCTTTTCTGAACTGCAGACTCTGCTGGGTTCGTTTAGCTCTACTACAAATAGGGTAGCAGCAAAAGCAACAACAGCAACGACAAGAACAGTGACACAACAACGAAAGCGGCAGCAACAACACCAACGACGACAACGACAATAGTAACAATAACAACAACAACAACAACAACAACAACAACAACAACAACAACAACAACAACAACAACAACAACAACAACAACAACAACAACAACAACAACAACAACAACTAAGAACAACAATAAAAAGATTAATCATAAGACGACAACAACAACGACAACAACAACAACAACAACGGCTTAAGAATAACGAGAACAGCAACAACAAGCACAACGATAAGACTAGCAGCAACAACAACAACAGCAACAGTAGTAATAGCAATAAAAACATTCATAATAACAAAAAGCACATCAACAAATAGATAGTACAATAATGATACAAAAGTACATGACCAAAGCATATTAATAAGGCTAACAACAACCACAAGAATAATAATAACAACAACATCAACAACAACAACAACAACAGCAACAACAACAGCAACAACAGCAGCAGCAACAACAACCACAACCACAACCAAGGTAACGTAGGTTTTTCTCGGGACAACAACAACCAGGGTAACGTAGGTTTTGGTCAGGAAAACATGGGGAATGTCACGAAATCCGTCCAAAATGTAAGGTAGGCTGTCGTTTCCCTAAGAAAGCCAAGGCAACGTGTGTTTTCCTTAAGGTATAACATATAGGGGGAATGGCACCAAATCCGTCAACAAATGTGTGGAAATTTGTGTTTTCGGAGGAAAATCCACCCCCACCCCCCATCCCTCCCTCCGTCCCTCCCTCCCTCCCGCCCGTCCCCTCAGACCAAGCAAACGCACTAGAACAAAAAGCATCCCTAAGGAAAAAATCTTCAGATAGTTTTGCATCCAGTTACTAAGACTTGTTGGGCACATGACAGTCAGGCGACACAGACACCGGCAGTCCTAAGACTTTGTGACTGTCGATGGTTTGGGCACGGCTATAGGGTTTGAGTCGCTAGGTTTACCAGCCCCAAGCCCGATTGGCACGTGCTAAAGGATGAACATCCTCTAAAATTCGCTCCAAAAGCTTCAGAAAAGGTGAGCATGAGCTTAAGCCAGAGCGCAGAATGGCGGCTTCAACCCTGCATGGAGAGCCGGAAGATGCGAAATAGAGTCTGAAGAGTCTCAAACCGATGCTGGTTGCAGAGCAAGTTTGAGGTCTTTTGCTACGCCCCCTTCCTCCTAGCTGATGGTCTTGGTCTCAGTGGCATTGTGGCCATCCTCTTCACTGGCCTGGTGATGAAAAGGCGCAGGGTTTAGGGCGTCGGATTCCAGCATTCAGATGTGGGGAGCGCGGCCTTGTTCATAGGGCCTTCAGCAACTAGCAATGGTGTAGTAGTGGCTTGAGTGTGCGTGGCCTCGGAGCTTGAGTTTCGCAACATCGGCATCAACAGCAACAGCTTCAGGACCGTGCTTTTCCAGCATCACACCAGCTAAGACGTCTTGGCGCTTACTCAACACGTCGGACTCAAGGGCTGTTTGAACTACGGGGGTGTTGAGGTGCTTCGGCGGCTTGAAAGGATTTTGTGTGTATGGGATTAGCCCCAAATCGCCTAAACCGTTGAACCCGGCAACCTTTACTTTGGGAGCAGCCCAGCCTTCAAAACGGCAACAAACAACAACAGTTGCCGTCGCCCTCGCAATTGTGATGGTGTCGTAGTTGTAGTATGAGTGCCACTACGACTACCACTAGTGCTAGTAGTTCTTGTAGTACCAGCAGTAGCAGTAGCAGTAGCAGTAGCAGTAGCGGTAGCAGCAGTAGTAGTAGTAGGAGTAGTAGTAGTAGTAGCAGTAGTAGTACTAGCAGTACTAGTAGCATGAGTATTACTAGTACGAGTAGTAATAGTACGTAATACTAGTAATAGTAGTATTAGTAGTACTAGTAGTTCTAGTAGTACTCGTAGTACTGCAGTGCTAGTAGTACTAGTAGTACTCGTAGTTCCAGTAGTACTAGTAGTACTAGCAGTACTAGCAGTACTGGTAGTAGTAGTAGTAGTACTACTACTACTACTACTACTACTACTTTTGCTACTACTACTACTACTACTACTACTACTACTACTACTACTACTACTACTACTACTACTACTACTAGTACTACTACTTCTACTACTAGTACTACTAGTACTACCAGTACTACCAGTAGTAGTAGTAGTAGTAGTAGTAGTACTACTACTACTACTACCAGTACTGCTAGTACTGCTAGTACTACTAGTACTACTGGAACTACGAGTACTACTAGTACTACTAGCACTGCAGTACTACGAGTACTACTGGTAGTACTGGTAGTACTAGTAGTATTAGTAGAAGTAGTAGTAGTAGTAGTAGTAGTAGTAGTAGTAGTAGTAGTAGTAGTAGTAGTAGTAGTAGTAGTAGTAGTAGTACTAGTAGCAGCAGTACGAGTAGTAGATAGTAGTAGATAATAGTAGTAGTAGCGGCAGCAGTAGTAGTGGCAGGAGTGACAATTAGTAGTGGTAGGAGTGCCAGAGTTAGGAGGCACGAGCAGGAGGACAGCAACAATAACTACGACATATGCAAGATGTGCAGCAATGAGTAGCATCGATGACGGACATTATCGATACCGCTTTTGGAGTGCCACCACCACCGCCGCCGCCACCATCGCCAGCACTACCACCATCAGCAGCATCATCATCCTTACCTGCCCCAGCATTAGCATCGCCTCAGTGCTGTGAGCAGTTACAATTTGTGAGCACTTGAATTAACATAGCAGTACATCAAGGCTGCAATGCATACATGCTATGCCAACCCACAAACTCCAGAACCCCAAAACCACCTAGCATCAAAATGCCGAACCCAAAACTCTTGGACCCCCACCTCGGACCCTAAGCGCGCGAGCCACCAGGTACACTTATTTCAATTTGTCGCAGTCGGCTCGCGAGACGGTGGCCACGGTGGTCTCCATGATGGCAAGTTGTGCAGAGCTACTCGGTGTGGGGAAGGTTTTTGTTTATTTCGACAGGCTGTTCGGAGTTCGGACCATGGTTGGAATCAATGCCGGTTTGTTAGGGTTGTGTGGCTGTTCTGGATTATGGCAGCGGTCCCAAACTCCTCTGACTAGTTGTCCCTCGAACTCACTCTTGCTCGTGTTATCACAGCGTTTGTCATCACTAGGATCTTGCCGACGAGGTGCGGTGTGGTGGTGGTAGTGGTGATAGTGGTGGTTGGCTGTGGGTGGCGGGTGCTGCTTCTGGGTGGCGGAACATGTTCTTCTGGTGCAGCCCCGGTCCCGATGCTCATGATGAAAGTTGTGAGGGTGAGGTTGATGACCACATATTGGTGAGGGGGACGGTGGTCACAATTCAGGAGGTCATGAGGAGAAGGATGACCATGGTGGTGCTCTGATATGTGTCGTGAAGTTGATGCTGCGGATCATCGTGAGATGAACCGAATAGCAAGGCAAGGCTTCGAATGCTGCTTGTGACGGTACTTTCCTGTCTTGGCCATGACAGTTGTAGGGATTGGCTTTCGTGGTTGTGACGCTGGTGGCAAAGGTGATTTTCAGTTGCTTTTGGTGGAGGCGTAATGTAGGTGAACCAGCAAGGGCTGCGTTGGTTGCTGTTGGGTGCTTCAGGAAATTTAGCCACCATGGAGCCAGAAGCGGAACCCCATGGCAATACAGTCGATGGGCACGGGCGATGTCTGGTGATAATGACACAGGCTTGTAGGGTTGCCTGGCTGGGATATCTGTGCCATGGATGTCGGAGTGTGGGTATTGAGTGTAGAGTTCAGGTTCTACGAGGCAAGGACTTGGGGATTGTGGTGATTTCTGTGTAAGTGCTGTGCAGGGTTGGTAGTTCTATCAAGTTCCATCATCAGAGGATGAGAGCTCTAGATCCTACAGCTGTTGACCCCATGCACGAAACCCGGAGAACTACGCCCGACCGTTCAGCCTTAAATTCTAAAGACTAACTTATGAATCCCCCAAACCCAGAATCCACACTAACTGCAAGGATTTCAGGGCTACCGGAGGACCAAAACTCTAAAGACTCCAAAAGACACCAAGAGACCCCACAGCTGCAAAGGACGCTGATCTTCATTGATCTGGGCACCTCTGCCTGGGGCAGCCTCGGGGCTGATCTGGCGCGGGGAGCCCCAACGAACGTTAGGGTTGAAGGTGTGAGGACTTTTGGGGTTTCGCTTGTTTGGGGCTTGTGGCTCTACTAGTAGGATTTCGGGATTTAAGGGGTTTTGGGGGTGTCGGGCTTCAGGGTTTCATAGGATTTTTTTTTTCCGGTTTTAGGGTGTGTGGTTTGGGGTTGAGGATTTGGTGCTCTGGGTTTGATTTAGGTTCGGGGGTGCGGGTTCAGTGTGCTCGGTTTGCGCCCTAAGCCGGCAATCTTAGTGAACGCAAAGCATCACGGTTGCAGATTCAGTTCAGAACTCCCAGCACATGCATTCTATAAAGCTTTGAGTGCAAACACCAACCCTAAACAGACCGAGCGGCTTTCCAAACTGTAAAAGCCCTGGACCCACCATAGTAACGATAGTGAACTCCGTTCTGTTGTAAGAGCTGGCATTTTAGGGTCGCTATCGGTGTCATGAGAAAGGGGTTCGGGGTCATTCATGCGAGGTTGCCACTAGCCTGCCTGCAATCCTCGCTGCCCTTGTGAGCTGTGTTGACTTCAGTGTATACTGTTTCGGAAACTCGTTACACCCAGCGCCGCTAACCCTCGGCAGAGTATTGAAGTTTAGAGTTTGGGGGATGTTTGAGGTGTGGGGTTGTGAAGTGGCCCCATCCTCTGTCCCACGCCCTCGCCGAATCGTTGCGTCGATCAGGCTCCTGAGCTGGGTGCTCTTCGCCTGCCTTGTGGCGCGTGCGGCGAATGTGTACGTGTCGGGCTGGCTACTGAGTCTTCGGCCTTTGGATTCGTTTACATGGATGTTGTTGATATTTGGCGAACTAGGGCACGCTGCCGACGAGCGAAAGCAAGCTTTAGTGGGTGCATGGGTGATATTATCGAGAGATGCAGTTGTGGAACGCGATGATCTCATGTACGGGCGTGTCTCACATTGTGTTGCATTGTTGGACTTACGAGGGAATGGAGCTAGCTGTTTTTTGTTTTTGAGACCTATAATTGAACCCTCCCCACATCCTTTGTGCTGTCTATAAGGAATTCGCGGGAACCGAGCTATCCACGGCGGCGCTTCGAAGCCAATGACATGCACATGGTTCCTGAGCTGATTTGAGTTGTGGGATCGTGGGCAGTATTGGGCAACGAGAGTTTGAAATCTGTGTTTCTGGTTCGGGCCACGAGATGTACTTGACCAGTCCGGCCACGCCAAAACATTGCGTGTACGATTTTTTCGGCTCAGGATCTGGATTGTATAGTCTATATAGCCTTGGTTCGTTATAGCGTGGTCAACGGCAGAGAGGAACCTCAGAACTTCAGAACACAATACCCTAGCCTGGCCTGCTAGAATCCGAATCTAAGGTTGTTAAGGCACACCTTTTTTGGAGATGAGAAGAGCCCCGCAAGCCCAAACCCCAACCTTAAAGCCCGATATATAAGAGCAAAAGAACCTAAACCCTCAACGCTAGCAGTTTTATGCGAAACCCCACAACCCTGAATGCAAATCTCGGCGCCGCAGGTGTGGTTCGCCGGTTTGCGGGGTGCCATCGCCTTTGCCCTGTCCACTCAGCTTCCCCGGCGTTCATGGAGATAGGAAGCTTTAAGTCTTTAATTGGGGGTCTGGGAGTCTCGGATCGTCTTTGCTGGCGTTGAGTGGAGGATTTTGGGTCCAGGCATGCGGCCCCCTAGGCCTCTAATTAGTCTCAGCCCACTGCATGCAAGTTCTGGAGTTTAGGGTCTGTGACGGATCCTCAGACCAGCGATTGCACTAAAATCCCACAGATGTCGGCTCTGGTTGGCCAGGGTAACCTTAGCCTGAACCCGTTCGCACTGACTACAAAGTCGCCATAAAGCGTGGTGAAACCACAAGTCAAGCCTTGTCAGGTTTCGGGGTTTGAGGCGGAAGCAGGCACGCCAAAAACCTGGTCGTTTCCTGCTTGCCCAGGAGCATCTATGGGAAGACCATATAACTTTACCCGGACCTCATCCGTTCCGCAGAGCATCCGTGGGCCAAAACCATCATAACGTGCACCCAGACCTCATCCGTTTTCAGTGCACCCATGGGCCAAAGCCATGAGAACGTCCATCAAGATGTCGTCCGTTCCCTCGCTTCCATGGGCCAAACCATGATAACGCCCACCCAGACATCATCCGTCCCCGACATCATCCATGGGTCAACCATGATAACCTCCGCCTAGGGCTCATCCATTCCCCAGAGCATCCATGGATATCCATGGGCCAGGCCTCATCCTTTCCCCAGAGCATCCATGGGTCAACCGTCACGTTATCCCATCCATCCCGCATCCGTTCATGCAGAGCGTCCATGGGCCAAAACCAAGATAACGTCCATCCAGACCTCACCGTGCCCCGGTCCAAAATCCGTTCCCCATAGCATCTGTAGGTCAACCGTGAGCATCCATGGGCCAACTGGATAACGTCCACACAGACCTCGTCCTTACCTCAGAGCCCATACCTCTTCCGCTCAAAAAGCCAACGGCGCATGTTACATCATACGGCTGGGGCTAAGAGCATAGACTGGCAGACGTCCCGCTTCCCTCGTCTTCCCATGCGAGGCCAATCCAGATCTCTTTAGACACCCTTCTGAGTTCGTGTGAAGGCACCAGCTGCCGCTTATGCAAGATTTCATCCAAGCTATGGCTGGCATTTCATGATTCGTCCTGCTGTTCTGATTTTCAGAGTTTTGGGCGAAATGTCATCGTAGGTGCACACAACGGTTTTCGTTGATGTTTCGACACTAACCTATGCTTTCCAATTCTCTGGTTGTCAGGTTAGCCAACGAGTTCCGAACACAAAGTGCCCAAAACCCGAGCGAAAAGCATCTCGCATGCGTTAAGTCTCCAGGTTTTTTGCGCGCCTGCGACCTTTGAGGCTCTGGGGTCTTGGGCTTCACGCTTCGCAAGCCCTACGGCGCAGGGCCCCCTCAACCCAGGGAGCCTGAGGAAAAGAATCAAACCCGGCCAACAAGCCCAAGACCCTCTAAGCCGAAATAAATCAATTCAGGAAGAGCGGCGTGCAATGACAATCTGTAGCTGCACATAGTATGTGTGGATAAAACATTCAGTGAGTATACATGCATGCATACATACGTACATACATACGTACATACATACACATGTGTGTGTGCGCGGGACCATAATCTACTGGGTAACAATGAAACACACACAATGCCTGACTTCAGTATGAGGTTCCCGGGTCCCCATCGCCACTGCTTCATGGCCCTGGCAATGTGGGTCGTAGCGCGTCTCAACATGGGGGGGGGGGGTTGGGGGGGTAGAGTAAGATCAGGGTTGTTCAGAGTTTCTGCCTGTCGGGTGTATCTCGCGCTTCAGGCTTCAAGCGTTTCGAGCCTTGCGGTTTAGATGGTTTTAGAGTCTCCGCTTTTGGAGTGTTGGGTCTGTTGATGGCCTAGGGTTTGGCTTGGCGTGTCTGTGCTTTGGGGTTTGAAAGGGTTCATGGCTGGCTTTAGGGTTCCGGGCTCTTCTTTAACTAATGGCTTTCTCACGTCGAAATGAAGTGGTTTCAGGATCTATGCGAAAGAGTTCAGTCACAGAGCTGTCGATGTCCAGGGTCGAGGGTGTGCGACGGAAGGCTCAGGGCATTGCTTTGAGAGTTCCTTGGGGCTATCACTCCGAAGAGGTCGCAGACGACCACTCTCGGTACGTTGTTGGCTCTGACAGCATTGGATTTTGGGCGTGGTGTCGAAAGGTGCAAGGTCTCGCGTTTCAGGCTCAGTATTCGCGGCAAGGATTTCTAGCGGCTGAGGATTGGGTTGAGGATTGGGTCCCTTCAATCTAGTGGTATCCCTGTCACACAAGAGCTCTCTAAAGTACAGAACATGCATGAAGTGACATGTACAAGAATCTCCTTCGAACAGGCTTGTGTGGATGCTGGTGCACGTTTGCGAACTGCGGCTTGCTGTGGTAGGTATATGGTTTGGGGAACTGGCGCACACTCCATTTACCTTCGGTCCCCGCCTCCCCTTGTAGCCCCGAGCCCATGAAACCCACTTCTGCACCCCGTACGACTAGCACAGTGCCCAGACCCTAAACCCCTAAACCGTAGAACCCGAAATCCCCTCACTCCCAAACCGCCTCGGCCTCGATACTGCCAAACTCCCGAAGCCGCCGAAGAGGCTTCGGCTTTAGGCCTATACGGTATCGTTGAAGCCTAGCAGATTTCCAAGCCCCTAGCTCCAGAAAATGTTCCAGAGACAGCCGAAGACGTCGTACGTCAAAACCAGTTGTTCGGCAAGTATCCAGCTCGCATTGAACTTAAACCCTTAACCTGGAAACCACAGTCCAATCTCTTATTGCTATTTCAACAGATGCCGAGTTTCTGACCTTCGACCCAAAGTTGAAGCAACCTTTGAGAGGGCTTATTCTACCCCGCTCCTCAGGATCCTAATCTTCGCTCATCCCAGCTTAGCTTATAACCAGAGACAGAGAAGCATCGCAATTTCAAACCCACCAGATTTTTCCCTAAACCCTAAACCCCTAAACCGTAAACCCTAAACCCTAAACCAGCGAAAGCCCGAAGCGGTGAGGTGCTGACCTCGGTCTGGCTGCTGGGGGGAGCGACAGCGCCTGTGCTTGGGGCGCTGAGGATCCGGCGATGCCCGGGCCACGGTCCTAAGGATTCATAAGGGTCTATACACGGGTCTAGACAAGAGCCTGTAATAGTAAGGGTTTATAAAGGGTGTAAATAAGGTTTTAAAGGGTGTAGACGGGGTAGGGTTTAGGCTCTGATGCTTCAGGATTTACATTGCAGGGTTAACCCTGATGGCTAGACGGTGGCTGGAAACTGTGGAGTCTAGACCGTGTGTCAGGTTCCCAACGGCTCTAAAACCTATGCCGGGAACACTGACACTTCATTCCTGAACCGATCTGTGTCAGACCGCAAGACGGACAATATCAGAGGTCATGGCGATCAGCTGAAACAGCTTGCGCTCACGCTGGAACCGGCCGGGGCTGAGAGCGATCACCGGGGGCTTTGGGCTTAGGGTGTTCACGGTCTTAGGGTGCTGATGACGGGCTTGTTTAGGTGCTTCGTGTGGCCTCAATCTGAACGGACTCTCAGTTCGATCGCCCTATGTTGCACCTTTAGATTTTTATGTTCAAGGTTTACCCCGCAGCGACAAGTCTTTGTAATTGGAACCTACCTGTCGTTTCCGTATGAGCGTGTAAGTAAATAGCCAATTAAACTCAATTGTGCTACATGTATGTGTGTATATATCATACACATACGAGCATGCATGCATGCAAGCATGCCTGAGTTCATTCATCAGCCCACAAAGTGGCATGCATGAGTACATGCAGCGCATCTGGATTGATAGATACACATATACACACATCGGTCTATGCGTAGCTGGCTTTCTGTGTGTGCGTGTGTGTGTGTGCGTGTGTGTGTTTGTGTGTGTGTTTGTGTGTGTGTCTCTGTGTGTGTCTGTGTGTGTGTGTGTGCAAGTGTTCTTCAACTGTCGATCGGTCTGTTTGTTTGTCTTTCTGTCTGTCTGTCTGTCGGTCTGTCTGTCTGTTCCTGTAGCTGTCCAGCTGCAAATTTGTCTTTTTGTATCTCGGTATCTATCTATTTATCTATCTGTCTTTCCAGGTTTTTATCTGTCAGTCTATCTATCTTTCTTTCTGCATTTATCTCTATAGTGTCTATGGCTGTTTCTATCTGCATCCTTATCTGCTTTGTCATCTGTTTTTATACAGCCTATATCGGCATCTATATCTGTATCTGCATTTATGTGGTTTTCTCGTCTGACGATCTCGGTGTATACGGGTGCAGCTGTCTTCGCTTATGTTGCCTTTTTTCGCTGTATTGGTAAAGTGTCAGGCTCTGGGGTTTGGCGATTTCTTTCTTGGGCATCTGCCAGTGGCAGTCGAAGATGCGCTTCCAACGCGTCCTTCGAACAGTTTGGGGATAACTAGCAGTGTTGAGTTTAGGGCTTTTGGGTACGGCGGTCATGCAGGCCGTGAAACGCTTGGCGCAGCTCGGCGACAAGTAGCCCCAAGCCCCAGGTGCTGACACTGTCATCACCTTGTTGCGATGTGAGTCGATCTAGCCTTGCCAAACCCAAGGCCCACTTCTAGACAGTTAAACCATAACTCACGCAGGGGGCTGGAGTCAGGAAGCACTTCTCAGCCATTAAGCTTCACTTGCCTTCCGCGGATTGGGCGGAAACCCGAGTTGGACCCGGAGGTCGTTAACCCTGTCTGCTCCCAAGGACGCGGGATCCTTGCAGCATTCCTTCATGGTTCGGTTTGTAGTATATTGATTCGGGTTGTAGTGCGCAACTGTGGTGCTTCATGGTTTAGTGAATCGCGATTCTAGCTCTTCTAGCTTCTAGCCTGTTGGTATTATGGTTCTGTAAGAGAGGGTTCTATCTTCGGGGACCAGGATCTCAAGTCTTGAAGATTCGAGCACTAAGGTTTGTGCAGCTGGACAGGCAGTACATCACCCCGTTATTGCTGCGCAACGACTCAGGGCTGCAGGGTTCGATGCCTGTGGGTCTCGGGGCTTGTGGCTTCAATTCTTGACGTCTTGGCTTTGAGATTCTTAAAGGTTCAGCGCTTTAGAGTTCTGTTGACTTCCGTCATTCTCAGACAGACGTGAGTGGACAACAGCCTACAGATTGAGCAGTTACCAGGACAACGTGAACTTACAGAGAAGGTGGAGCCATCTGTCGAAGTCGGCTCAGATCTTTGCTCAGTAGGCAGCGAATGAATCTTGGTGTTTCTGAAAGGCTTCCGAAACAGCAGACCCCGTTGTAGTGCCCCCTAAACCCTAAACCCTGCAGTGGTAGTGGTAGTGCCAGTGAGAAGGAGGCTGAGCTTTAAGACCGGATGCAGTCCCGTCAGCTCCAGAAGGACGTCCTGAGCCCTGAAAGCCTGAATTTCTATTCCCCTCACGCTTTTTGGGGTTTTTGGTTAAGGGTGTTACGGTTTGCGGTTCAGGTGTTAGACGATTGAAGAGGGTTGCCCTTTTCGAATCCTGCACCGCTGCAGGTCCCAGAGTGGAAGGCCCAAAGCGGTTTGCCAGAACGAGATGCAAGGTTTGAAGCGGTTAAGGTCTAGGGTTTAGGGTTCCCATTCTTCCCCCCAAGTTGAGGGTGTAAGGTCTATGGATAGAATATGTCATATATCCAGGTCTTGAAATGAATCGGCATCATTTCTTCATTTCCTTCAGTTGCATTCAGGGACTCGGGCATAGTCGAAGGCATAGGGAATTCTATAGGACAGTCCAATCCGCTGCCTTGCATGCTTCTGTTTGCCCTCACAAGGCCTTTACACGGGAATCAGAGTGTCGCGCCAAGTCCTGCTCGTGGCCAGGCTTGGAACGCAGCGTTAGAATGCGGAACAGGAACGTGGAAAGTGAACGCAGACACACATAGAGTTGATCCTTGAGGCCGTTTTCGTTGTTGAGGCGCTGGCTACAGAACAAGCTTAGCCACCTTCCGAGACCGTAGACCCTCGACTGTCGCCGTGCATGGCTGCAATGCGGATGACCCGTTTCTTCAGCATGCTCGCCCTCGCCCTTCTTTCGCAGGTCCAGTCTGCTGTCTTGGAGTCAGCCGACTCAGCTCTCCTGCAGGCCGTGTAAAAACTTTAGAAGAGCCGTCGAAAGTACCGTGTGTAGTGTTTTGTCAGAGTTCAACGCACTTCTGTTGGAGGTCCAGTCTGATAAGCTCCTTGGCTGGGTCAAAAAGACACCAATTTGCTGCAGCCTTACACATGAGTCGTCGAAGGACGTCCCGCCGGAGGCGCCTGGCTTGTGGGCTTCAGGGCTTAACGCGCCACAAAGTATCTAGAATGTGGGATGAATGGAATCATTTTGCGGTTGCCAAATTTTGTGGGGTTTAATCTGCTTCAGCTTGAGTGTGGGGGTTGCAAGAAATGCAGGCTCTAAGAAAGAATTCGCTAAAGTTGTCAGCCATGGGTTACAGCATGTTGCTTGACGTTTAAACCACATGTTGCTTGACGTTTAAACCACATGCGAAGAGAAGCGTATCTTACGGAATACTCGCATACTCGGTGTTTACTTTCGACTGCTGCAGTGAGTTTGGCAGTCTGTACTGTCTATGCCGTTCATAATTCTTTGAAATCCAAGAGAATTTTAGAGAACGCAAAGTTCGTTCTTTATTGGGATGTCTTCACGCAGTGGCCAGCACGGGTTCACATAGGTCCTCGTTCCGCGCGGATGGTAAACTGCTGGGACTCGGCCCTCATGTGTATATGTAGTCTTGTCCATTCAGCGCCACCCAATCAGCTAGGCGTGTGTGTCTTGTCAAAGTAGTAAGGATTTCCAGAGCTTGGTTCCTAATTTTCCAAAACTATAAGGTCCCCTGTTGAAGGAGTCGTTGTGCATAGCTCATAAGAGTCTTCTCTTAAGAGGCGAGCCACAGTATATCGTTCGGCATCGCGCCAGAGAAGTGGAGGAACACCAGCAGCTTGCGCCGTGATGGCGCGAAGACGACCATGTTTGCCCCCCTGATTCCTGGCAACACAAGAACATACATCTACAACACGGAGTACGCGTATTACACGCAGTACAGCAAGGGTCTTTTTGGCATCACGATGCGAAAGATGGGTTGGGATTGTTTTCGCCACTACGAGATAATCATGTCGGGCAGCATTCCCTTCTTCATCGGCCTGGAGGATATGCCAAATCGTACAATGACAAGTTTCCCCAGGGCGCTGGTCGCCAGTGCAATGGCACTTCCAGGAGTTCCGTCACAAGCAGAAGTTAAGGAATCGATGGCTAAGGGGCAGGTGCCTCAAGTGAACCTGGAGCAGTTTGACATGAAAGCATACATGACGCTTCGCAATCAATTGATGGAGTATGCAGCGCAGAATCTCCTGACCACCAGCACCGCTTCCAAGGTCGTGCCTCAGAAAGTTATGCAAAAGGTGCTAGTGCATTCGAGAGCTCCGGAGGTAGGATACGGGCAGTTCGTGCTAGTCAACGGGCTACTCACTCGACAAGCAGAATTTTTTTGCTCGTTTCATTAAGCTCTTGTACAAAGTCTGCAGTGTGTTGGATCTTGTGTCCCCTTAGTTTTTGGAAAACGAGAGGCTTGTGAACAATGGACACTCAGTGTGCGCACGGCCTGAAGGGATGCTGGACACTATGCGAGATGATTATGCGGGTGCTCTGGACACTGCGTACGGAGGAGGCTTCTCTTATGCACGCACTGTAGATCACACGAAGCTGGGGCGTGACTGCCACGGGCCATGGGACTACTACCTCTTGCTTGCCGAGGACGGTGATGATTATCCAGAGCCAAATAGTGAAGACGCAGAGCAGGCAAAAAACATCTTCGCCATCAATTTTGACGACAAGATTCAGGCCTCTTTGCGGGCTCCAGCCGTGGCAACGGAGTACTTTGTCAGAGAGCTTTGACAAGGATCCGTGGACCATAGACCGTAGATCGATGCCGCACTGAAAAAGCACGTCTGCAAGCCTCTCATGTTGAACTGCAATCACCGTTGGTGGAGCGCGTAGGCTCGCAGAAGCTTATTTTGCAAACACCTCTCTTGGTAGTGCGGGTATCAAAAACAGGCACCGAATCATGTCTCACCAAGAGACCCATGCCGAGGAACGCAGCGAGTTCTCCCCTGTGGCCGGGCGTGCTGATACAGAGCTAGCTGGGAGCTGAGCCAAAGTTCCATCGAGGGGAGGACGGGTCTCGCCAGCATCGACCATCTCGTAGAAGGGCCTCGAACCACCTACACAAGCATTTAAAGTCACCTCGGCGCATGAAGACGTAGCGTCCAAGAGCTCCTTTCCTGCATTTGACATTCGGGCGAGATATGCGGCGCTTCGAGGCCTGTAGCCTTGGAGGCTTGGAGGTTGAGAGGCTCGCAGGAGCCGCATTTCTGCCGGCTTATAATTCGACTTCGAGGCTTGGATGTTGCAGGCACGCAGCCTTCAGAGGCTCGGAGGCGTGGGTTTAGGAGCCAGACATTTATGGAGGACTATAGGGTACCATGTGCCCTTCCATGCTTTTATTAGGCTCTTGATTGTCACAAGTGGCAATGTTTGTTGCCGCGACTTTCGACAGAAAAGCCAGGCTCCGCTTAGGGATACCAGAGGACCCTAATGTAGTGTCCTTATTAGAAGGTCCCCAAAATAAGGACCCCCCCATTCTCGGAAACTCCCAGATACCAACCGCCAGAGCCCAAGCTGGTTACTGCATCTCAACAATCAGAAACCTTTGGCAAAGTCTGATCCTCTGCAGCTGCAAGCTTCTGATCGCCTATAGAGGTGCTTTAATGCCACGCAGCTCCTGAAAGAAACGCGAAACTCGATTTTCAAGATTTAGTCAAAAAACACGGTATGGGACCTCCAAAGATGCCGATCTTATGCAACCTACATACAGCAGCTCGGAATTGGAGCCCTTGGCTATGGCTTCAAAAATGCCGGTATGAAACCTAGCAACCCACACTGGCAACCTGGGCATGCCGACTTGCTTTCAGCTTAACTTCGAAGAATCATCCGAAACCGCCAAATCTATGTTCCCAAAGTCCACTCCCAACCAAGCTTCGTAACCCGAACTCCAATCTGCGCCCGACAGCTCATATGCCGCAGCCTGGTCTGAGGCCGAACCCGCCATGTCGGAGATGTCGGAAAGAGGGGAGGATGCCAGAAGCCCGGTGCACCTTGGCTCAATGGATGGTAAGTCTCACGCTCAAGCCTGGTGAAAGTAGCTTACTCGCATTCAGGATCTAAAAGCTTCGGGTCGAAATGCTTTAAGGTATGGAAGTATGGGAACACGATTAATGGTCACGAGTTTTGAACACCGCAAAGCCTAAGCGGACTGAATCCCCAAAGCCCTGGGCCTCTTGGAAGGATCCGGCCACCTCCTTCGAGCGACGCAGATGTTGAAGGCCGTCGGAATGCAGAAAGAGGAGTAGTTGGGAATTTCAAGCTCTACCTCGGTTCCAGTACGTTCGGGCCTGTAGTCTATAGCTTCCAGAAGCTCTCCTAAGCTAGGTCGTTTCTTCGCCAGGCAGGGAAATGGAATGAAATTCTGCGCTTCGCCCACGAACCATAAGTGTGAGTGGGGTTTCGGGCCTGTTTCGAGACAACTACCCTATGCTCCGAAAACCACAGCCGTTGTCCAAAGTTACAACTGAGCCTACAAGCCCTCGAACTACTCAACATCCTAAGCCTTTGAGATTGCAATACTGCTTCTTGAAAGTGAGCTCAACGGGAGGAAGCTCACCTTGTAGCCATGGAATGCTGCAGAGCAGACTTGGAAATGCTTGTACTCGTAGCCGGCTGCGCGACCCTACGAAAAAAGCCGTTTCTCCTTCATCCCTTTAATAAGTAGTGCAGAGGTCTGAATAATTCGTCGTGGTACCACCTTTGCCCCCTTTTGATTATGCTAGTGTGCATCCCATGAACCTGGCAAAAACTAATCATGTAGGACTCGTAGGGCGGCACCTTGAACAGAAGCTTTTGGCCAACCCCTTGACATAATGGAGATCTCTGATTGAGAACCGTTCTTTTTCTTACTGTCGGATGCCTATTCTCATTCTTTTCATGGGATGGGTGGCGTCAATCCGGGTTCTAAATCTCCATCAATTCCTCAAACCCAACCCGAAGCATATAAAGCCTCCAGCGGGAACCCAACCCGGAAACCGACACCCCGGCTCCAAAACAGAAAGCATCCTTTCAGGTGGCGGCGCGGCGCCAGCCCCGTCGCCTTTGCACTCCTCGCCCCTTCTGACGGCCTCCGCAGAAGATGCGGAGTAATTCGTCCATGTGCTCGGGCTCGGGGGATTGCGCGATATGAGGGCTTTCAAGGGGTTTAAAGGAGTGTACCCTTTGACAAAGCAACTTCGAGTCATGAGGGGTGATTGCAGAGTTCGGATTGTTTCCTCTGTACATATAGGGTATAGAAAAGCTCCGCATAGGAAAACGTTCAGAACAATCCCCATGCACGCCTGCAACGCGATGGATTCGCTGCCCGCCGAGAGTCGAAAGACGCTGTCCTCGGGATCTCTTGGCTAAGGCTTTAGAGATTCACGATTCCGAGTTGCAGGTTTAAAGTGTGCTAACCAAAGCCTAAGGGGTTGCAAGGGTCACAAGGTTCAGAAGTTTGGGAGTGTGGGTTGAGTTTCGGGTATTGTAGGGGCGGGGAAGAGTAGAAGCACAACAAGTCTGCACATACACTTCGCAGACGGTGTGTGGTTGAAAGATTCGGGAAGTGATTGCGGATTTTCAGTGCATGCAGGAGACTGTTCCCCAAACAGTTTGCACTTTGCGTTCGCGTCCGTGATTTCGAGAGAAACCGTGCAGCAGCATCCTGTGGATACCCAGGTTCTTCATTGAGAATTACAACACGCAGGTCTTTGTTTGTCTCGGAAAGCTACCCAAGCAAAGCAGTATTGCTGGGAAAGAGGACTTCGGCAGTTCTCCGGAATCCCGGAGGTATACGGGGGAGCATAGGCGCCGTGCTCCTGATTCGTGCCGATACGTGGGGACAAGTTGCGGTCTTGAATTCGCCAGCATTTGAGAGAAAGCATTCTGGCCACGTGTCTGAATGTCCTTCAATCTCTACTTGGGGCCAAGACTTTGGCCGACTTGAGGATTGCACAATACTTGGCACTGGGGACATACTTGGCGCCAGTACTTTTAGCCAGAATCGCCATGCGGGGCAAAGCACTTTGGCCCTGGTTTGTTGGTGGTCTCGGTCCTGGGGTCCTGGCGCTTTTCTGAAAACAGTCGGTTGCATGCTGCCAGCCTAAGCCTAAGAGTCAAAACGCCTGGATCGTGTTGAACGGTTGCGACGACCACGTAACATACCTTGGCCCTGTCCTGTTCTGAGCAAACTTTTTCGCATACAGACGAAAGCAGAGGGAAGGGCCGACTGGCCGAATCGATCTCTCGGTATCGAATCTAGATGAGACCTTCTTGTACGGGAGTTCCTTCCAAGCTTGAGCAAGCATGCTTGGCTGTCCCGAAGAAGAGCAAGTCACTCCTGCAGAACTGGGACTGCCAATTTCCAGTTTCAGAACTACGCATGGGTTGCGCAGTTTAATCTGGAACTTGGGTTTCACACATACCAAAGCCATATAGAGTCATTGCATTCTTGTGCCTTCCAGGTGTGAGAATTGGCAAAATTTCTTGTTTCTTTTGCTCTTTAAGTTTTGGCTCACGAGCGAAAGCATCGACACCTTCGCACAGAAAGCTGCTTCAGCCATGGAACTCATCGATCAAATCATAGTTCCCTGCTGTCTGCTTGGGCTGGTGGCGGCCGTTGCGCAGTTCTTGGTCATCAGGATTCGCTTGGGGACCTTTATCCGGGGCTTCGCACAGGGGAGGTGTCTAGCAACATGTACTCCTGCTTGCAGTACTGTTGTTTATGCATGTATGTTTGCAGAACAGCAACATGAACGGATTTCTTAGATCATGAAGGGCAGGCCCAAGGGTAGCATAGACATGTGTTATATATATATATATAGAGAGAGAGAGAGAGAGTGAGTGAGTGAGTGAGTGTGTGTGTGTGTACATGGAGGTGGGCAACACGTCATTCCTTAGCGGTTTCTTTTGTTCCAGGCGCATCAAGCTCACGCCGGATGGGAAGGACAGCCTCAGCACAGGGCTCACAGCAGGTGGCAGTGAGCAAGCAGCGAAGTTGGTACCCGAGATCTACGAAAAGATCATGACGGGCGCAATTCAGTTCCTCAAGGTGGAGTATGCCATTTGTGCCGCCTTCTGCGTCGTCTTCGCTTTCCTTATTAGTGCTTTGGTTTCTTGGGGCACGAAGGACACGTTGCAGGGACACCTGACCGCGGGAGCCTTCCTCACAGGAGCCTTCACATCGATGCGTTGCGGCTTCCTTGGCATGATGATCGCCACTTACTCCAATGCGCGCACCACTCTTGCCTGTGCCTACAGCGGCTACACCCTTGGCTTCAACACCGCCTTTCGGGGTGGCAGCGTCATGGGCTATGCGCTCTGCTCCCTGGGAGTACTACTACTACTACTACTACTACTACTACTACTACTACTACTACTACTACTACTACTACTACTACTACTACTACTACTACTACTACTACTACTGGTAGTACTGGTAGTACTAGTAGTACTAGTAGAAGTAGTAGTAGTAGTAGTAGTAGTAGTAGTAGTAGTAGTAGTAGTAGTAGTAGTAGTAGTAGTAGTAGTAGTAGTACTAGTAGCAGCAGTACGAGTAGTAGATAGTAGTAGATAATAGTAGTAGTAGCGGCAGCAGTAGTAGTGGCAGGAGTGACAATTAGTAGTGGTAGGAGTGCCAGAGTTAGGAGGCACGAGCAGGAGGACAGCAACAATAACTACGACATATGCAAGATGTGCAGCAATGAGTAGCATCGATGACGGACATTATCGATACCGCTTTTGGAGTGCCACCACCACCGCCGCCGCCACCATCGCCAGCACTACCACCATCAGCAGCATCATCATCCTTACCTGCCCCAGCATTAGCATCGCCTCAGTGCTGTGAGCAGTTACAATTTGTGAGCACTTGAATTAACATAGCAGTACATCAAGGCTGCAATGCATACATGCTATGCCAACCCACAAACTCCAGAACCCCAAAACCACCTAGCATCAAAATGCCGAACCCAAAACTCTTGGACCCCCACCTCGGACCCTAAGCGCGCGAGCCACCAGGTACACTTATTTCAATTTGTCGCAGTCGGCTCGCGAGACGGTGGCCACGGTGGTCTCCATGATGGCAAGTTGTGCAGAGCTACTCGGTGTGGGGAAGGTTTTTGTTTATTTCGACAGGCTGTTCGGAGTTCGGACCATGGTTGGAATCAATGCCGGTTTGTTAGGGTTGTGTGGCTGTTCTGGATTATGGCAGCGGTCCCAAACTCCTCTGACTAGTTGTCCCTCGAACTCACTCTTGCTCGTGTTATCACAGCGTTTGTCATCACTAGGATCTTGCCGACGAGGTGCGGTGTGGTGGTGGTAGTGGTGATAGTGGTGGTTGGCTGTGGGTGGCGGGTGCTGCTTCTGGGTGGCGGAACATGTTCTTCTGGTGCAGCCCCGGTCCCGATGCTCATGATGAAAGTTGTGAGGGTGAGGTTGATGACCACATATTGGTGAGGGGGACGGTGGTCACAATTCAGGAGGTCATGAGGAGAAGGATGACCATGGTGGTGCTCTGATATGTGTCGTGAAGTTGATGCTGCGGATCATCGTGAGATGAACCGAATAGCAAGGCAAGGCTTCGAATGCTGCTTGTGACGGTACTTTCCTGTCTTGGCCATGACAGTTGTAGGGATTGGCTTTCGTGGTTGTGACGCTGGTGGCAAAGGTGATTTTCAGTTGCTTTTGGTGGAGGCGTAATGTAGGTGAACCAGCAAGGGCTGCGTTGGTTGCTTTTGGGTGCTTCAGGAAATTTAGCCACCATGGAGCTAGAAGTGGAACCCCATGGCAATACAGTCAATGGGCACGGGCGATGTCTGGTGATAATGACACAGGCTTGTAGGGTTGCCTGGCTGGGATATCTGTGCCATGCATATCGGAGTGTGGGTATTGAGTGTAGAGTTCAGGTTCTACGAGGCAAGGACTTGGGGATTGTGGTGATTTCTGTGTAAGTGCTGTGCAGGGTTGGTAGTTCTATCAAGTTCCATCATCAGAGGAGTGCTCTAGATCCTACAGCTGTTGACCCCATGCACGAAACCCGAAGAACTACGCCCGACCGTTCAGCCTTAAATTCTAAAGACTAACTTATGAATCCCCCAAACCCAGAATCCACTCTAACTGCAAGGATTTCAGGGCTACCGGAGGACCAAAACTCTAAAGACTCCAAAAGACCCCAAGAGACCCCACAGCTTCAAAGGACGCTGATCTTCATTGATCTGGGCACCTCTGCCTGGGGCAGCCTCGGGGCTGATCTGGCGCGGGGAGCCCCAACGAACGTTAGGGTTGAAGGTGTGAGGACTTTTGGGGTTTCGCTTGTTTGGGGCTTGTGGCTCTACTAGTAGGATTTCGGGATTTAAGGGGTTTTGGGGGTGTCGGGCTTCAGGGTTTCATAGGATTTTTTTTTTCCGGTTTTAGGGTGTGTGGTTTGGGGTTGAGGATTTGGTGCTCTGGGTTTGATTTAGGTTCGGGGGTGCGGGTTCAGTGTGCTCGGTTTGCGCCCTAAGCCGGCAATCTTGGTGAACGCAAAGCATCATGGTTGCAGATTCAGTTCAGAACTCCCAGCACATGCATTCTAGAAAGCTTTGAGTGCAAACCCCAACCCTAAACAGACCGAGCGGCTTTCCAAACTGTAAAAGCCCTGGACCCACCATAGTAACGATAGTGAACTCCGTTCTGTTGTGAGAGCTGGCATTTTAGGGTCGCTATCGGTGTCGTGAGAAAGGGGTTCGGGGTCATTCATGCGAGGTTGTCACTAGCCTGCCTGCAATCCTCGCTGCCTTTGTGCTGCGTTGACTTCAGTTTATACTGTTTCGTAAACTCGTTACATGTTTGAGGTGTGGGGTGGTGAATGTAGGTGCCAGGCATCCAGGCCAAGCCTCGAACTTGCGAAGATTGCATTACTCCTGAAATTGTGGCTCTAGTCTTATGGGTATCGGCATTGATGTTGCTCCAAGTGTACTGCTTGAGGTAAAGCTGCGAGTCTTTGGATCGAGGAGATGTAGACAGTTTCCGGAAGCCTGAGCGAAACAAAACTGAGAAGCCTTCCAACCTATGCAAGGCTTCAAACCTTAGCCAAACGACTGTGGCCCCATCCTCTGTCCCACCCAAGCTGCGAGTCTTTGGATCAGGGAGATGTAGACAGTTTCCGGAAGCCTGAGCGAAACAAAACTGAGAAGCCTTCCAACCCATGCAAGGCTTCAAACCTTAGCCAAACGATTGTGGCCCCATCCTCTGTCCCACCCAAGCTGCGAGTCTTTGGATCAGGGAGATGTAGACAGTTTCCGGAAGCCTGAGCGAAACAAAACTGACAAGCCTTCCAACCCATGCAAGGCTGCAGACCTTAGCCAAACGACTGTGGCCCCGTCCTCTGTCCCACCCCCTACCCGAATCGTTACGTCGATCAGGCTCCTGAGCTGGGTACTCTTCGCCTGCCTTGTGGCGCGTGCGGCGAACGTGTACGTGTCGGGCTGGCTACTGAGTCTTGGGTCGTTGGATTCGTTTACATGGAGCTTGATGATATTTGGCGACCTAGGGCATATTACCGACGAGCGAAAGCAAGCTTTAGGGTGCACGTGTGATATTATGCGGAGATGCACTGTGGTACGCGATGATCTTATGTATGGGCGTGCTGCACATTGTGTTGCATTGTTGGACTTACGAGGGAATGGAGCGATAAACTGCTTTTTGAGACCTTTAATTGAACCCTCCCCTCCTCTGTGCTGTCCAAAAGGAATTCGCGGGAACCGAGCTATCCACGGCGGCGCTTCGAAGCCAATGACATGCACATGGTGCCTGAGCTGATTTGAGTTGTGGGATCGTGGGTAGTATTGAGCATCGAGACATTGAAACCTGCGTTTTTGGTTCGGGCCACAAGATGTACTTGACCAATCCGGCCACGCCAAAACATTGGCTGTACTATTTCTTCGGCCCAGGATCTGGATTGTATAGTCTGTATAGTCTTGGTTCGTTACAGCGTGGTCAACGGCAGAGAGAAACCTCAGAACTTCAGAACCCAATACCCTAGCCTGGCCTGCTAGAATCCGAATCTAAGGTTGTTAAGGCACACCCTTTTTGGAGATGAGAAGAGCCCCGCAAGCCCAAACCCCAACCCTAAAGCCCGATATATAAGAGCAAAAGAACCTACATACCACAACCCTCAACCCTAACAGTCTTATGCGAAACCCCACAACCCTGAATGCAAATCTCGGCGCCGCAGGTGTGGTTCGCCGGTTTGCGGGGTGCCATCGCCTTTGCCCTGTCCACTCAGCTTCCCCGGCGTTCATGGAGATAGGAAGCTTTATGTCTTTAATTGGGGGTCTAGGAGTCTCGGATCGTCTTTGCTGGCGTTGAGTGGAGGATTTTGGGTCCAGGCATGCGGCCCCCTATAGGCCTCTAATTAGTCTGAGCCCACTGCATGCAAGTTCTGGAGTTTAGGATCTGTGACGGATCCTCAGACCAGCGATTGCACTAAAACCCCACAGATGTCGGCTCTGGTTGGCCAGGGTAACCTCAGCCTGAACCCGAGTTTCACAAGACCCCAAACTTCGCACTGACTACAAAGTCGCCATAAAGCGTGGTGAAACCACAAGTCAAGCCTTGTCAGGTTTCGGGGTTTGAGGCGGAAGCAGGCACGCCAAAAACCTGGTCGTTTCCTGCTTGCCCAGGAGCATCTATGGGAAGACCATATAACTTTACCCGGACCTCATCCGTTCCGCAGAGCATCCGTGGGCCAAAACCATGATAACGTGCACCCAGACCTCATCCGTTTTCAGTGCACCCATGGGCCAAAGCCATGAGAACGTCCATCAAGATGTCGTCCGTTCCCTCGCTTCCATGGGCCAAACCATGATAACGCCCACCCAGACATCATCCGTCCCCGACATCATCCATGGGTCAACCATGATAACCTCCACCTAGGGCTCATCCATTCCCCAGAGCATCCATGGATATCCATGGGCCAGGCCTCATCCTTTCCCCAGAGCATCCATGGGTCAACCGTCACGTTATCCCATCCATCCCACATCCGTTCATGCAGAGCGTCCATGGGCCAAAACCAAGATAACGTCCATCCAGACCTCACCGTGCCCCGGTCCAAAATCCGTTCCCCATAGCATCTGTAGGTCAACCGTGAGCATCCATGGGCCAACTGGATAACGTCCACACAGACCTCGTCCTTACCTCAGAGCCCATACCTCTTCCGCTCAAAAAGCCAACGGCGCATGTTACATCATACGGCTGGGGCTAAGAGCATAGACTGGCAGACGTCCCGCTTCCCTCGTCTTCCCATGCGAGGCCAATTCAGATCTCTTTAGACACCCCTCTGAGTTCGTGTGAAGGCACCAGCTGCCGCTTATGCAAGATTTCATCCAGGCTATGGCTGGCATTTCATGATTCGTCCTGCTGTTCTGATTTTCAGAGTTTTGGGCGAAATGTCAGCGTAGGTGCACACAACGGTTTTCGTTGATGTTTCGACACTAACCTATGCTTTCCAATTCTCTGGTTGTCAGGTTAGCCAACGAGTTCCGAACACAAAGTGCCCAAAACCCGAGCGAAAAGCATCTCGCATGCGTTAAGTCTCCA